ACAAAGGGCAACTGGTGGAGGTTAGTGTGGATTCAGTATCTTTCTGCGCCAGGTCACACATTACTTCGAAAAATTACATCTGGAATCGCGAATGCCACAGGGGGATACATTGTTTTCAGAATGTTTTAATAAACGAAGCTTTTGGAAATAATAAACAGTTCGCTTTTCTCATTCCGCAGCATTCTCTTGACTGTTGCTAACCTCTTCCTTTTCCTCGGGAATTTGTCAAGGGGCTCATTGGATACGCAGCGTTCGCGAAACCGGTCTGAACTCGCCAACGGTCCGCTTGCTCGTCTGATGATCATGCCCTAAAGTTTCTACAGGCAAGACTTGCACCTTAAAGTTTAGTTTTGTTTTGAATTCAGTTCGGTGAAGTAGTAAAGTTCATTCCTCGAATGAGTGCGTTTGCCGACAGGAGGTAAGTGATCCAATATCCCCTTAATTTGAACTGTAGCTTAAGATAGTAAAATAATTTTAGCGAAAGTATATAGCCCAATAACACCAGTCACCTGTCCAGAAAAAAATATGAGACCGATTCTATGTTTTTTTAGGGTACTGAACTCGAATTGGAGGTTTGGCGCCTCGAGAAATGTCGGCATCATAAAGACAATTTCAACATTTTTTAAACTTTTCGCACATTTGTCAGTTTTTCTATTATATTTCAGCAACTATGCGTTTTATCATCTCTCAAAAAATTAAAGTAAAGACAATTCTCTACAAAATGCATTGATCATTTTTAAAAATTTGGCAATTCTTTTAGGCGCTGGAGCACGTAAAAATGCCGCGATTTTGGACCTCGGGCTACAGAATGCTTCCTCTCGCCCTATTATCTGGCGGCGGCACTGTACTTTACCCTGTTCGAGGTCGTTGGTTAGCGTCCTCGCTTTCCAGGGCGCAGCCCCGGGTCAGATTCCCGGCCGAGGCTAATTATAACTGTGCGCTCTCCTTACAAATGGCTCAGTATTTATTGCTGTACGACGATGAGAAAGCCACCCTAAGGTTATGAAGAGTAGTATATACGGTGAAGGGATGTCTTCGTGCTAACCCCATGAACCCCTTATCCCATGGCCGAGAGGTTGGGTCATCGCTGGTTGGCTAAGGCCCGTAGCGGGCTGTCGAACCACAGGACAAACACACTATTTTCACTACTTCATACTTGAGAACGACAATCACGAATAAAATATTTCTATTGTTAAACGATTAGAACTCCGTTGCTTGCAGAAACAAGGATGCGTTTACTCGCGTGGGTTATTTATGTTTTAGATAATTAAAATATGAAAACGAGGGAAAAAAAGGAGAGGCAGTACTTTTTGTACAATGGAATAGGTTCATAAAATCTTTTTTATCACACATTATATATTTTTACATTGAAATGCCTGACGTGTGTGCAAAGTTACAGCTCAAAATAATACTTTTCTTTACTATACTGTATCATAGTAATAATTTGGAGCCGTCTCTGAGAATTTTATTGTCAATTCCTTTTACTTCAAGCAAAAATTATGCTAAAACTATTCGTATCTTCAAAAAAGCTGTACATGACCTTATTAAAAGATCTTTTTAGAACACATTTCATTCAGAAAAAACCCTCTATCATCACTTTTGTAATTTTGTAACATCGTTTTCTGTAATATCCGATAATATAGAGAGAGCACTGAAAACTGAGATCTGCGCCATTTTAATAAGCGTGCTTTGCTCTTTTCAAGAAAAAAAAGTTTCAAACTATTGGAGCCTTTTTGTGAAAATAAATGTCTAAATATTGCCTTCAAATCACGCAAAAAAAGCGAAAACGACTTATATTTTCGAAAAATTGGACAAGATTTTATTAAAGATCTATCTGACTTAAAAAAAATGATGGAGGAAAAAATTCTATCTTCAATATTATAATTGTGGGAAGGTGCCGAAAAAAATAAAACTTTAGAATTTTCGAAAATTCAGGAATTCCAACAAAAATGTGACTTGCACCATTTTCCACCCTTATTTATTATATCTAAAAAAAACACAAAAATTTGAGCCATTTATGAGAAAAATTTTAAAATGTTAAGATTCTTATAAAGTACTCCCAAACTCACTACCTTCCGCTATATCAATACGATATTTTGTCTTTACTATAAGTATGCAGGAGAGTAAAATCAAATGCAAATGTCAGAAAATACCAGATACCAAAGGTCCTTCAAGAAAATATGCTACTGTCAAGCGCATATTGATTTTTTAGCAATGAATAAAACGTTAATGTTCATAGATATTATTGCTATGTTACACGTTTGTCTGAAAATGACCAGCGTTATAGCATACAAAGGAAACCTCGAAAGGAATGAAATGGCGTGAGAAACTTGCTTTACGTGTCATAATAAAAAAAATAAGGCAAATTCAATTCAATTCAATAATTCCACATTCGAGATTGGCGAAAAATTAGGTCAGTGATATGGCGAGAATATAAATTCTTCGTTGCCTTAATTTGTATGTTGGTGTTGAGAATGATTATCTGAGGAAAATTACTAAATTACTAAAAATGTTCAAATAATAATTTTTAGTCATTGTCCTCGTTAATGAAGTTGGTGGTGGCATGGTTATAGCACGCATTATAATGTGAATCGGAAAACAGTTATTACGTCTGTTTCGCCTAAAGGAACATTTGAACTTTAATGTAAATAACACAATACGCATACTAAATTCACACGTACCTTGAATCTGCGACTAATGGGCACATTACATTTCACTAAAAATAAGCTATATCGAGTTATATGTATGAAACTATTTATAATATCTCGGAAGTCACGGTACGAGTATGGTGAGTAAGGGAGATCACGAGCATGCGCTTTGTTACGTATCTATGAACTTCGTCCCGCACCAGTTTCTGCTCCCTCTCGCGCTCGCCAGCATAGATATTTCCAATAATTTCGCGCTGCTGATACTTCGCAGTCCTTCTCACTCTCGAGGATTGTCAAATAAAACACTAAAAGTCCCCCCCCCTAAAAAAAGAAAATATATTGTTCGAACGTTCTGGATAGCTGATCAATCAATACGAGTAAACTGTTACCTGCTCCGCGTTCGCGGATATTTTGTTCTGTATTCTTGAACCACCTATTAATTTTATCTAATACCTTCCTAAAGGTTTCGCCAATCTAAACACTTGAAGGTACTACTAATTGGGAATTTTAGACACGTATTACACTTTAAAAATGCTGACTTAATCGGCATGCGTCCATATCTTTTGAACTCCAGCAAGCCTCTCGCAAAACAGACTTGTCTCCATAGCTACCCATTACATTACTCAATTATTCCCTTACGAGTTGATACACTCGTATCAATTATTTTTCATTTAGTAACACGCTTTTTAATAGTATAATAAAATTAGACTAAAAGCCATTTTTCTAAAAGAGCACAGGTAAAAGTATTTTACCACCGACAATTACAATTCTCATTTTACGTATACAGATCTTATGAATTATTCACTAAAATGCTCAGGTGTTGCCCTGCTAATTATCATCGCATCCATCTACAAGTACTAAGTAGTCCTTCTCGCCCCGCCATGCCCACTCTTCGATTCTCCCACTCGCTCCATCCTCTGCATCTTTCATGCCTGCCGCACCAGCCCGACCCATTCCTCTTCAGCTTCTTTCTTAGCCCCGCTCCGACCCGCGCTTTCCTGCCCTGGCCAATTCTCTTAACCTTGGGTCGCCTAGCAATGCCTCGTAACAGTGCCATCTAAATGTATTGCGAGTTACATTAAACTCCGCCTTAAAAATCAACAACAACAACATCCCAACAACAAAGTATATGTATGTCACTATTCAAACAAAGGTATTTTGTTATTATTAATAATTATGAACGCAAAGGGAAAGTTAACATTTAAAATTTTAAATTGCTTAGCATGAAAAGGTTCATTCCATTATATATATATATATATATATATATATATATATATATATATATATCTGTATTTTACGTCAAAATTTTTTATTCATCAAAGTAACACGTTTTACAACTAAGTTTTTTAGACTTTCATATCCTCTGTTGAGACACTTAAGTGGAAGGATGACTCTATTGCAGTCTATCTTTTTGTATCAAGGATATCATTAGCAGGTTAGACAGCTACAGCTTCTCAATCTACTTCGGATGTTTCACTGATGTACTATCTTAAGGACATCCTTTATAAAAATGTGTGCATGTGATGATAAATTAACTTGAAGGCAGGAGAAAGGAACAGGTGTAGAGTTACGAGATCTACATAGTATCATGAGATTAAAATCGGGTAACAACGTAGTAGAAAGTTACACATTTAATAAAAGGAACTACAAAACATTGTATGTTCGGTTCACAAGAAAAAAGACATAAATCTAAAATTGTAATTTTCAAGAGAACTATTGTAACCAGAACAGAGACAATTTTTATATATTTTACTCTAAATATACACTAACTTGAAAACTACCTTTAAATTTTTTTTATTTTGCCTACTGTCTATTTAGTAAAAAATACTATTACATATGCACTTGAAAAATTAAAACTTTTTAGACATCATCTTTGTACCGATGATAAGTTCGTAAAAGCACTATTTTACCCGTAAAATAGACAATATTTGTTAAATGAAGATGAAATACAAAATGTTATTGGCGGAAAATGGTATCATTAAATTACAAATGTTTATTATTAATTACAATACAATCCTTGTGGTTTATATAATTTTTTTTATGAAACCACTTCTATTTTTGCCACGAGAATGTTGTATACCGTCGCCATTTAAAGTATGTTTTGTTGCTTCACCCAAATAATAAGCTCTCAAAAATTATGAGCGTAATTTCATAAAAAATGGCAATTTGAATGACACTTTTTTAAAGAGGAGGTTACCAATTCTACTTGCGCAACGTACTTCTTGTAACTCTGGGTTGCGATCTGGAAAACACCATTCACGTGCGTATGTTTTACTCACATTAATTGCACATTATTCGTTTCACAATTTTTACGCCTACATGCAGAAAAACACAATTTAGATTAATATTATTTCAGAGAAACTCATCACACCATTCAGAGATACACTCATAACACTCTCTGGCTTGCCGACTGTTGGCTTCCACTAAATCCTTTAGCCAGTCAATAAACAGTTCTTTACTCTTCTTCAATAATAGGTATTGGCCCAGAACAACATAGGCCTTATCAAAACCGTGTTTCGTAAGTCTCTGTCCTAAAACGGGGCCAATACCGGAAAGGTCAGTCACTCGTTTCTCGCCGACGGGTTCTGTCGCGAAGACATGTTGCTCCGTGGAAGATGACATAATGCGGCATTTAGAGCTGCCAAACCTTGTATTCAACTCACACCGCTAATAAACTACTAAGGAACTGATAGGACTACTGCTAAACTCTTCAACACAAACCGATAACGAACAAATGCTAAGGTCACCACGAGGTCGTTCACTCGCCAGCCGCCAAACAGTGCGAACGGACTCTCAGATAGTAAAGTTCGTTCGAAAAAAGTTTCTTCGCGGGACAGCATCAATTCCTGATATACTTGCAATAAATTATTTTTCTCTCAGGTTATTTGTACACGCAAAATTTCATGGCAGTCGTACAGAATACGTTGACCTCTGTACCATGTTTTTCCTCACAAAAGCGAGAAGCTCATTATAGGTGTTTGAAGAACGCTGGTACTTTTTTCTCTGCACGAAGGAGGAAATAATCACCTTCAGCGTTGTCTCTTCACACCTCCTAGTTGTCAGCTCGGAGATTTCATCTTCCACAATGCAGTGAGGACAAGGAAATCGTTCCCCTGCTGCTCAACGCAGAGTCTGGAACAGAACCTGTTAAGGAAATCTAAGGAGGATTTTTATATCGTGTTTCAGTCTGCTTTGTGCTGAACGTTTCTTGTTTCTATGCCCTCCATACTTGTGTGAGCTGTAGAACACATCTACTCAAAACCATTTTTCATGGTACTAACTTCTTCCTAAGAATTGTTGTACAATTCAGTACTTTTCTCAAAAAAATACTTCTAGTTTTGAAAGATTCAAAGCTTGTGTTTCCAGGCATTTCTTTAAATTTGCAAATTAGTTTTCAGTATTTGTCAATGAAACATTTAGCAGTAAATAAAAGTGCTACTTGTTAGCAAATTTACTTTTTTAAGGCATTGCGTACGAACGTAGACACGTTGGTTCTTAAAAGCGTACAATTTTATTCTGGATAGTAAATTATGGGTATGAAACATCTTGTGAGCTATTTTCTGTAACTTACAACATCGTAAACATTTGTATTTGCGCGTGCATTTTAATTATATATTTTTGAGATTACTAATGAAACCGTAGCATAAACTGAAATTCATTTTAGTTCTTTCTTATTCAATTTAAGAGTAAATTATTCACAGTTAAGTGCACGTTTTATTTTCAAATCGCGTATTTACTAAACTAAACAATTTAAACGAATCATTTTGTTCTCTTACTACTTGAAAGAAATATTGGAATTAAATTTTCATGCTACAAAACTTGGAAAAACTGTCGCAGAAACATGTTGCTGACAATGCTTGATACCTAAGAACATGGGTCAGATGTTTAAGAATTATTGGTTATATTAATATAACATTAGTGAATAAATTATAATATTTTTACAAGTAAATGTGACATCACCGACACTGAAAATGATTTACAAATATTTTCATGTGTTGAAAATTTATTTCATGTCCAGCTTAGTTCAAATATGTTCTTTCAGTATCAAGCATTGGACTTGCCAATTAATCGTAGTAGCTGATAATGTTATACTCCCGTTCAAAAGTTCGCAATGGCCCAATTTCCATGTCCTTGTATGTTGCTTTCATATGGGATATGGACAGGTGTTATTGCAATTTCAAAATTGTAATTGCCGTAACAACTACTTGCAGATTGTGATGCTAATAGTTGAATTTTAGTACAGCTACATTTTTAACTTTTTTTACAAATGTGCACAAAAATGCACATATCACATTTGCATTAGCACAAATGTACAAATGCAGATCATTCCCAATTAGTTCCAAAAATTATGTCGCAACATCTTTTACAACTATATTTGATTCTTCACCGAATTTCGTTAACACTTCCATATTTTTCTCCCCCAGCATTTGATGAGATTGAAACTTCACAAACATATTTGTGTTCACTTCTACATATGCAATTTCTCTATTAATTGTTTCGTATGCAAATCTAGCTTTGCTTGCAAATCTAACATTAAAAAGACACTGTTTTGTATGTTTATGTAAATAAAGTGTTAGTTAAGTATATTAAACATAAGTTGTGGGTCACATTCATTTGAAAATTGACATTAGCACACATAAGTAAGAAAATAAAAGTGAGAAGTCAAATATAAAGTCATTCATTCTTTAGCATTACTCACAGTTTTATTCTCCGTATTCACTTGAAATTCTTCAAAATTAATAAGTTCCGAGGCAATAGTTGTAGGTTTTTGCAATTTTTTTTTAAATACAATAATTCGAATCTAAATTCATCTCAATTTGAAGCGCGAATAACTTAGTAATTCAATTGTTCACTTCAAGATGTCAACATCAGTGTTGCCGATGCCGTAAAAGAAAATTATAGCGTATTTTGCTAAACATTTGTTTGGGTGTGTTTAATCAATGTCACCTACATAGATCGATTTAGGAGGCGTTGGTTAATTCCTGACATTATCAATAAGATCGCAGCGCCAAAACACATGTTTTTGGAAATTTATTTCAATCATCTGGGCGAATACGAAAACTAATTACAAGTTCCCCATCAGGTGACCGAAACGCGTCGACTGACACCTCATACGTCGAGATTGGTGCACAGGAAGTAGTCGAGCCGCCAGTGACGGAATCTCACACATCCGCACACCTGCACACTCAAGAGTTATACTCGAATACTGTATACTGATTTCAGCAAGTAGGAAATCTCATTTTCTTTATAATGATCTTATTTAGACAATATATGATGGACCAGCGTCTGAAACAGAACGAACATAATTTGTCAACCTTGTTTTGAAAGATTTCGTAAAATCGTTGAACACATCTTTCACTCGATGTTGGGTTGTTTGACTGGAAATACCCAGAAATGCATCCCATTACATTGCTTCCAGGGTTGAGGGTGAAGGTGACAGCGGCGTGTGTCGCATGATACACTCCTCTAGCGTCTCCGGAACAGCTCAAGGAGCGGCAACCTACGTCAGTTTACAAATCGTCACGTTGTACATCATACTGTCGTTTTCAATAAGTTTTGAGTGGAGTGACAAGTTAAAAAAAATTACAATTATACGAACAAGAATTCGTTCCTATTCAATTCTCAGAAGATGGGGCAAAAAAGCAGGCATTTTCATCCATAAAGAATGCATACAAATACTTTTCAAGGTAGTGTTTTAACTTCTAAAGTCAAAACAAGTAACAGTTTGTGTCGTATAAATAGTGTATTTCAACTATTATTGATAATTTTATGTACTGTTAACCTTCCGAGCGCATGGCTGTAGTCTTCCAAATTTTTATTTTCAGGCTTTATTCCTATGAGAGTTTAGTTTTGTGTTGCCCTTGCCCTAAAATGACTGTTCCTGTTTAATCTTTACTCTTTCCAAGCGAAAAGCAAGTACATTTATAATTGGTGTTGGCGTCGTAACTGCTACTACAGTGAAATAATTACTTGGTAGTTAAATGACTCACACAAATGCCTGAAAACATGATCACCTTCTGACATATTCAGAATCTCTCAAGTTGTTCGCCTTCCTGATAGCTGTATACCAAGTTAATTCGCTGCAATAAATGGAATAATTTCTATATTTTACTTTACACCTTACACTTTTTATGTCGATAATTTATATATTTTGTAATGGTCTTATTGTTGTCGTTTGCTTCAGAAATGCTATTTTAATTTTCAGTCATAGGTGTATAAGAAAAGTGCCACTAATAATCATTTTGCAGGAGAATGGATTTAAGTTGAGTAGATACATTTATTTCCTAAGACAGTTCTTTACTCTGTATATATTAATTGCCCAACGCTGCCTTGTGAAATACCTTTATAAAATTTTCCTTAGTGAAAATTAATTATTTTTTAAACATTTTTCATCTATCCTTATTATTTCTTCATTCAACTAAAATGACGTTTTTTTGAGATAGTCTCATTTCCTGTACACAGACAAAATGTCATTTTGACTTGTCCTTGCTACTATTATTCTAACACTTGCTGGCTTGCGCTGGTATATGACATTGCCCACGTTCCGGGTCGCGTTGATCTACTCGAAGGATCTGTGAGATAAGAGCGATTAATATGAGAGGAGGAAAGGCTCTTAGCTCCTCCTTATTAAGGAGTCCTTAACTCGATTTAGATCGTTTTCGGCCGTTCAAAGCACAAGTCGTTTAAGTTTATAAGTAAATTTTCTCAACGTATCGACTAAAAAATTAAATATTTTTTCACACAATCATCCAATCAATTATTTTTTTTTGGTAACCACATTTAGAAGAAAATAGGTGAGAACTTTTTTCTCTTGTCTTCCTTGAGAAACCGCCACTGATGTTTATTCTTTCTGCTAACCCACGTCGTGGCACATCTTTTAAAGAATTCATGAGCTCTTTAAACCTGAAAATAAATCTCGTTCGCCTCAGCAGAAATTCTTAAATCGGTGCTCTAAAGAGTACATACTCTTTGGTTTCGTCATTCAAAAACAGAATGCATTCAGCTAACTAATAAACTGCGCACTAATAAGACGATATGAATATATGAATTTTACGAGAGGGTTTTGTGAAGAGAAGAGCGTTTGAAAAAATTATGAATCTCACGAGGTTTTCAAATAAGCTCATTATAGACGCCATTGTTCCACATGAACGAAAGATGCTGATTCATCACTTTGTTGCTCAAAGGCTATGTGTGCCAAATGGAGAAGGACGCTGTACCTATTAAACAACTCTGGGAAAGATGACTTGAGGCATTGCAGGCAAAACACGAGGAGCCGCTCAAAGAATTCGCTGAATCATAAAAACATTGTGAATGGAATAATTGAGCGTTGATGTAAAATCAATGTTTTCTATGAAATTGCAATATTGATTTTGATTAGATATGAAAATGCAAAATCAATGAAAATAAATATCAACATAATTTTTATTGAGAATAGATTTCATAACTTCTGCGACCAGTATATAGGGAAACGACACCAATTGCCGTTAACACATTTGCAAAGTAAGAATTGCAAATTTCTCATTTGCTTCAAACTTGCAGAACGTGGATCTTATATCTTCTATTGGTAATGATTAGAACGAATATAGTTAATTTCTTTTCTTTTGTTGTGTACGTTGAAGATATATTCGTACTCGTATTAATATAACGTTACAATAATGTAACGTGAACCGATACGTTTTTTGGAGTTATTTGGTTTCAAGCAAGTTCATGGGGTAGAATATCGATTGGTGATTAATGAGCGCTACCAATATTCTGCAATTTTCAAGGGGCCACTACTGGAACAAAATCGGGGCTTGGAAATAAATGAATAAAATTAGGACATATAAAAATTGTCCTATAAAAGATGGAATCATTCACCCAAAAGCTGAAGCATATTACTTGTTAAAGGCATATTTAGTATTAAAAAAATATATGATACAAATGTAAACTAAGCATTATATATCGTTATTAAAATAAATATAATTTTTCTTTTTGATGATCAGAATAGTCTCTAATTGTATGCAAATGCAATTTACTCAACTAAAACAAAAGATTGTCATGGCAGAAGTACCAGAACAGAGTCTTTGGCGTACAAATGAAATGTTGACAGACAAGGTGACGATGGGCCGAAATGAATAGCCGAGGTCGCCAAGGTTGTAGGACCATAGTTGCCTCGGCTCGAAGGGTCGCGGATTCGAATTCCAACTTGGGCATGGATGTTTGTGTGTGCTTGCGTTGTCCGTAAGGGTCGTGTTCCCCCTACACTTTCCCCAATGTAAACAATCAAAGTGGTCGCTACATGACCTAGTAGTTGAAAAGCGACAAAAAGTGACGGTGGGGGTCCAGCCCATAGAGTAGAGATATCTCTCCTCTATGATCCAGACCGGCATTTTAAAATGAGTAAGTCTAAGACACTTTCATTAGCGTTACACGCATTTTCTTTGGCTCAAATTTATTGAATCATTTAAGAATATACTCTTGGGGTCATTCTCAATTTGCAAGGAGGCTACCATGTTGATTCAGGTCACCCCAGTATTTTATTTTGCAGTGCTCTATCGCTTTAAATGACCATGACTTCTTTGCTGTACGCGTGCGGTAAATTCTATTTTGTGCACTGCAAAGAAGCACTTTCCAATCAATGAACTGTGAAAGTTAGTAGTTTCCCTACAAAGAGAGTGCCAAATGGTATATTGCGGGACTACAGACTTGCTCACCCACTGATTGATTAAAATGTAGATGCCTCCACGCTCAAAGATTTCAAATCGGGCAAAATGTATATAGCGTAGAGCCGCATTAAATCGAGGCAGACATATTCCAGACCATGAGAGGCGCTTTTTTAGAAACAAAATAAAAACATCTGTTTCAGGATATTCAGCTGTATGCTTCACAATTTCACTTCAACCCGCCAAGGTGATGGATCTTCAAAAACTTGAAAAGTCCTTGCAATATGCAGTAAGTACGGAGGTAATACTACTATTAAAGATGCTTGTAAAAGATGAAGAGACTGATAACGATGATAAAAATCGTTGGCGAAGAGAATTGAGTGGCTCAGGAAGTAGATAATATGTGTTTATAGTTAATACTCAGAAATATTAAGCACATGGCCTCATTCACTTTTTCCTGTCTGTTTTCTTGTTTAGTACTCTTTGGATAAAATGTGTGTCACTGTATCTAGGCATGAGTCATTTCCTTTAACACGAATTTTCTCTGCAGCAACGCTGACCGGGGGGGCCTACCATTCGAGTCCCGTCGTTAGCGGACTTTGGGCACTACATAATCATGATCTTACGTGAAGAATTCTAGCGGCCTCATCAGTAGTTTTCCATGGTTTATCCGATCAATACCAGACGAATACTGGAAAAATACCGTAGCAAACAGCGATCTTTCCTTCCTTAATCTTGTCCCTTTCTCTCCCTTTACACACACGCACGCTTACACACACATGTACTACATTATCACTCGTCGGGACACCATTCGGGAGAGTTGAAACCTTGTTCCACCTGCGGATCAGCGCCGTTTGGGAGACACCTGGAGGAAGAAAAACCTCGCAACGTGCCCTTTAGATCAACACCTGATTTCATGTTTCGGTGCGGACGAAAACTGTCACATTCCGGAATCTGAAATGCTCCACAAACATCTTGATCGAAATAAGGCTTTGCCAGTACGGTAGAGAATTGAATTCTTTCCCAATATGGAGATTTACGAGAAAAAAATTGCAGATTATTTCACAAAATTTGGTTCGCGTTATCGCTTAATTGATTGATTTGTGATTCCGGGCGCGTCATCTGACAGCTACGGTCATTAGTCCTGTAAGCGAAGTATATTTTTTTTCTTCGGGAGGAGGAGAAGATTTTATCCCGCTGGATGATGAAATCCGGGCCGATCTGTCCGCCGGTGTTTTCCCCAACCCGGAAACTGCCACCAGCGGGGCACCGCCCCAGCTGGGACAACGCAGCAAATTCCAAAATGGACCATTTTAGTTCTCCTATTGATGGATATGATGGATAAAAAAACATCAGTAGACCAACTCGCAGGTAACAAGCGTATTAAACAATGTAATACATCAGTAGTGTAAATATTAACGACGTGAGATATATTTAAAATAAAATACATTTGTGTGTTTTGAAGAATCAAAAGAATATCGTTTATGTCATGTTATTCAGTGCACCTAGCACTATTCGCAGAAGAAGATTAAAGGCGAAGTTTGGAACCGTTTGTGAGTAAATCATGTTTCTAAAATTACCCATGTTTCACTCATTGCCGGAAAACTATTAATATTTTCGACAAAATGAATATGATATTAAATAAATGTACAACAAATTTCAATTGAAGAAAAAGCTGTCTTCAATAATGTAGTTGTGTGCGGGGGTTTCAAAAAATTTGAAACTTTCCCAATTTTCGAAATGTTTTGAGTTAACAGTGAAAATCGGTCCTATGCTATCTTTACAAGTGTAATTCACTCCAGTCAAGCAACAAATTTAAAGAAAACTAGTAGTGCTACAACAGAACATACATTTTAACAATATTGGGATGGTTAAGCAATATTATAATGTGGCCATTTCTGTCTTACACTTCAGATACAATTTGAAAAATCCTTCAACAAACGAAGCGCATGAAATACATTTTTTTAAATTCAAACGTTTAAACCAAAACAGTTTTCTACCTCTGAATTCAGTGTATTCGCATTCTACATAGATATACCAACAATACCCGATGCGATTTTAGCCGTAAATAATTAAGTATAATACTGTTATATTCACCAAACTACTCATTTTTACACGAATTACTCGTCATTCCCGAACCTTAGCATGCATTGCGAAAATATCAGCTGTTTTCACATTTAACTCAATTAAATGACGCAATTTAAAATAAATTTAATGCTTAAAATATTCTAAACGTAATTTTTCTTTTCTGGATTCGTCTAAGCAACTACTCCGATGGAGTCGCGAGCTTAAGATAGTGTCAAATTACAATCACAGAGAGGCAGCGCCTCAAACAAAATGCGGGAAATTCGAATTTACCAATTCAAGTTATTTTTTTCAATTTTTTGAAAATTCAGAGAGTGTGCGGAAAAAGGGACCAGCGCCGTTTACTTTACCGTTCTTTGTTACATAAGTGAACAAGTGCTACTACAGAATGGCACAGACTTTCCGGTATTAGTTTTCTATTTCGTATGGTTTCGGCTAGCCATTCTAACTTGCCACATACTCTTGCCTGTAGCCATCTATCACCACCCACACTACATTTTTTAAAATTTTCTTAATTTTTAGGTTTCCTAATAGTAGAATGTAAATATTATTTTAAGAATATTAAAGAACAGTAAATTCGAAAATTAAAGCTCTTTTTAACTAATTCTATTAACTCTAATTAAAGCTCTTAAACAACATTTTTTTTCAAAATATTTGTTCCCGTTTTTGAGAAAAAATTGCTTTAAACGACATTAAATTGTTGAAATTCAAGCTAAATTACGCGAATATTACTCAAATTTTCGAAATAATGAACAAGACCTTATTTCAAAATCTGCCTGTTATGAATCTATTTCATTAAGGACACTAGTGGTGCGAAACAGCACCTACTTTTTCGTCCGCACCTTCACGCAAAATTACGTACGCGATAAGTAATAATAATAATAATAATAAATTATTCAATAGGTTGACAATGTATTACAACACATTTTCCTATAAACATTTGAGGTATAATATATTTTTCTTTTGTTATTTTAATTACCCACAGAATTTTATTTTTACAATCTTCTGTGTTAAAATTTTCTCCTTCATTGTTTTCAATATACCTTGTATCCATGTTCTTTTTGGTCTACCTCTTTTTCTTCCGCCCTTTGGACATGGCCATAGCTTTGAAGCTGTTTCATTTGGAAAAAATCTAATAATGTGTAATTAAATCTTCTGAGTTCTTGTATTGTATCATTCCTGATTTTGTTTTTAATAATAATAATAATAATAATAATAATAATAATAATAATAATAATAAATTGTCTTTTTTGTGGCGAGGCTTAGGCTTTAAGGCCTGCCCTTCGGCCTAACCACTTTAATTTACAATTTCCAAAATTACAGTTAAGGCGTTCGGACGTAAATTATATTAACTGACATTTTATGTCACAGAGCAAAAAATCTATTTGACTCTAACGTCTACGCAAAATTGTTTGTACGTGAAAAGTAAATTTATTGTCATTTTTTGTTGCAATTTTGCAACATTGAAAGATATGATGCAAGTAACATTCTTAAAAATGAGATAAAAAAGAGCTACTACTTCTCCCACTTAGAATCAATAATTCTAATTTCGCTCAAAATGTTAGTTGCCATTATTTATATCCGAAATACCTCAACTGTAAACAATGAACAAAAGGGATATTTTTCGTCTGGAATTCAATTTCAAAAGTACTTAAGTTTTCGAAAACTTGGACATGACCTTATTTCAAAATCTGCCTGTACGGAATAAATTTCATTAAGGGAAAAAAATTTGTCTTCATAATTGTAGTTGAATGAAAACACCGAACAAATTTTGAATTATTGCAATTTTCGAAAAGAGTTTTCTATGAAAATGAGACACTCATCATTCTCCAACATTCCCGCAAGACTATCCAACAACAACATTTAATAAAAAAATGATGGAGCCATTTCTCGGGAAAATTTTGAAAATGTCTCAAGGGCTACATGTAAAGTACTCCCCAAAATAAAAATATCGGTTTCAAAGTCAACGGATCGCAAAATCAGCTAGGTCGATTGGGGAATATCAATTTTAAAGAAAAACGGTAGAACAGTTTAGCCATTAGTGTTGTACACAGAAAGACAGATGAACGCACCGACAGATGAACGAACGGACAGACGGACAGGCGAACAGACCGACGTTTTGCCGTCATTCAATTTTTAGGTATCAAGGACCCCAAAATCATGGATTCTGACTACAACATGTTTTAGAGAATTTTTTCTAATTTAGCAACTGGATTTGCCCACTATTTCATAACTTTCCATCTACTGCCGTTCACAGGCAGCGGATGCACGGACGGTCGGCGGACAAACATTTTGCCAATTAAATTACCATTAAAGCAATTTTTCGGCATCAAGAACTCATAGTACGCGACGTCTGTCTTCTAACATATTAGAGGAAATAATTTACTATACGTAGAAACGAGATTTATCCTTTTCTTGGTTTTGGAGACCTATAATACGAAAATGTTACGCCGAAAAATCGTCGTTTTTCGCTGCAGCATTAAATATTTTACTTTACCGCATACCGTAGAATGCAGGAAAGTAAAAAAATCTAGTGTCAATCTCTATTACCGAAGAAGTTACAACTCAATATGCCCTTGTCCCTTAATACCCCTTTCCACAGTGAAGTGGAGTGAATAATAACAGTTTTTTGTTGCCTTTTGGAAATCTACGAAAGACGTTCAAAGCAGAGACAACGGACATATATTGTCGTACAGTGATTAAAAAGAAATCAGCGTTATAATATCTATTGTGGAGTGTATTTCGCCACGCTTTTTGCTACTCATGATACGCCTCGCCACGTATTTCGCCACTCATGAAACAAGTACACTTCTCATGAAAACCGAAGCGGTTTTAATCTTCCTGTTGAATGATGCTGCAAATACCAGCGATTTCTTTGTCACTTCGATATATTTTTTTGGCAATGTGAGATCAGAGATCGCTGGGACATTTCTTGGAAGGGATATACATCCGATGTGATCGCCGACACTACACTCCGTGTAAGTTTCATGCAAAAGTAAGTATTCATGTAAAAAGTATACTGTTCCATTAAAAAAAACAGTACACTATCTGTAAAAACAAGTGATAACAAAAAAGCTAATAACTACCAACTGATGTACTCCTATGACCTGAATCGTTTATTAAAAAACAACTCAATATTTTGAGCTGTATACAGAATATTGGAGGTGGACGTTCTTATTCACTAATCCTGTGTATTTCTTTTCAAACCTATTTTTAACTTATTTCCCTTTCGAATTGATTTATGTATATATAAATTTGTTTTGTAGTTTCTCATTGGCCACTTAATTATTACGTTTGCCGATCTGTCACTTTTTATATCACTTTCCTTATTTTCATGCTATTTTTATTCCAGATAAAGCCTTACATTAAGCTCTCTAACCGAGATAGCAATTAATGATTTAATTAGCAGACAATGTCAAGTTCTAATAAATTTGCATTTCTCAGCATAGTAACATACGAGTATTATTGGATTACCAACAATAATTATTACTTGCTTTATCTAAATATAAACGAGATACCATATGTAACTGTAACATCAAACTGTGATGCCGATCTTAACGAAAAAAATGATTGTATTGCGGCTAAAACCAGTAATTGGGTAAATAAAGATTTTTAATATAATTTAAATTTAGGTATGTTTTTTAAACTAAATTAAGATACTTTGAAGAATATAAAGTACATACATCAGGAAATGACATACATGATTGGTATTTCAATGCGCAAAACACTAAGGACATGTATTATTTTCGCGTATTGTAATGAAATTAAATGAACAATTTTATTTGTGAATTCCTAAAATAAATAGTGCATCTGCAATGTGTTACTCGCACTATTTTACTTATAGGAACGTATTAACTGCCTTTTAAACCAGCGAAAAAATCGAAATGACTCGAAGCGCCGTTCTGCGAACTATTTTACTTACTGACTAGACCTCCAGATCAAAATCTGTTCCCGGAAGTAACGAAAGAGTCAAAATTTCTCGACAAAGAAAATTTTCTTAGCAATCGAAATTTGCTACTTGTCATAAAATTCAACAAAGAGATTGTGGTATTTTTAACATGATTACTTTCAGTTACCCTATTACATGGTTGGTTTATAATAACCTTCATTGAAATGTGGCGTACTAAGGACTTGTGTTATACCAAAGTGAAATTTGCACATGATGTATTCTTTTGCATTCTGTGATTGCTCCAAAGGGTTCGTATAGTATGTATTTTTTAAATAAATGTTTCGATAGTTTATACTTGTAATCGACTACAATTGACAATTTGCATTGCTGGCAGCACCTTATTTCCTACCCGAACGTCGCTAATTTAAATAGGTGGCCTTGTCGCGAGACTGTTTAGTGAAAGGGAAGGTAAACTTGAGACTTGAATGCGGCTCAGGAAGCAACCTTCGCTCGAGTTCATTGAGTTAAATGCCCCGAGGCACGCCTAATGTAATAGAACAACACTAACAATGATGTTTTGGAAGCGGAGGGGAGGAGGTTAATAAGGAAACGGGCATCAAGGGACGCCCTGGTGGCATTGTTCGCGTCCCGCAGCGCGGACGCCATCCGGCAAGGCCCCCGGCCGGGCGCAGTCCCCGCCGCCTGACCGCTACGGCACGAAGAACGGCCTGGAAGGATGTTGCTCATTTTGCGGTTGTCTTTCTCGCAGGCACACTTAGGCTGCGCCTCGTAGAAGTGACGCAGTTGAAAGGGTGAACCCTGGACTCGAGAGGTTCTTGATTGTTTCACTGCACTATAACACAAGAAGAGTTACGGAATTATAGGGATCAATAGACTAAAGCAGAAACTGTCGCGACAGTTCTTCGTTCTGCTCTGACCATCATGCACCCGATGTGAGTTCAGATATTTAATTCATAAACAATTATTTATTGATTTTTCTTAATGTACTCGTATACTTAATTTATTCATCTATCATGTTTCGTAAACCATGCCAGTATTATTCAGTGTACCGTAAATGCATCGTACTCCGTTTCTGAGGGCATTTGGGCAAAGCAGAAATAAATAAACACACACACAAGAACAGTAAGAAGTCATGTGGTACGAGAGGTGTCAAAAACAAAGGCGTAAACTTTTTCAGCCACGATTTTTGGGCGTGAAATTCAACACAAAACTTTAAGATTCTTCTCCACTGCATTTGGGAGAACACTCCACATTATTGAGAAAATATTTTTTCTTTTAAATTTTTTATAATAATCAAGAATTTTGCAAGAGGTCACCGAGATTAAACAATATATGACAAATGAGCACATCATATGGAGTCAATATTATTTCCAGAATGTTTGTAAATATCTTTTCCGTCGCAAATTTTAGGCGTGGCATTAAAAAAAGAACAACCTTAAAGATTTTTCTGCATTGGATTTTCGGGCAAAGTTATTTTTTTTGTGATTTTCTGAAAAATTTCAAGAGCTTTGCAAGGTCATTGTGATTGAACGACAAATGGCAAACTCTATTACCTGCATTCCATAAGCTATCATATATTTAAAAACCAGTGATTAGAAAAGGGACTCTGTAACTCGAGACCTAGAGCTGTTACCTTATTCATAACTAGGGGCGGATTTTAACGAAATGTCATTTTTTTCTTTTTACTTCAGAAATATGTTGCTGTACTATTGAAATTAATTTAATATTATGGCCAAAGGAAATGACCAATTTTTATAAGTAACATTTTTTGCATTTTTCGTCGATTTCGACTAATCAGTCATTTTTACCTTTTCTGTCATTTTAATGTATTTTTCGCTGATTTCATCGATTTTAATGTCATGCTTGTTGCACTTGCTTCAAATAATATTTAAGAGATAAAACAAATGTTCTCCACAAAATTCTTGAGTAACCTATTCAATTTCTTTGCTCAAAAATTGTAATGCAGCAATTGTATGTAATCTAAGGTTGTGACGCCTGTGAGCGCCATTGTCGGTTTGACCTATTTTGGAAGAACTAAAGACAGAGATTTCCTGGTAAAGAGCGGTCCAAATCAAACGTTTGCAAGCTTAGTGCAACGAATAGAAGAATAGAATAGAAGCTTAGTCTCAACGAATGGAAGAATCCTTTATTACTTCAGTAATATATATATCAAAGCTTTAGATATTCATCTGAACTGGTTTTGATAAATAAATTTACGTCATTATTTTGCTTTTAGGGCATTTTAAAAACATTTTAAGAGCATTTTGTTGATAATTTTTGGCAATGTTTTAGTTCATCAAAATTCGCCTCTTTTCATAACGCATTTGTTTAATTTGCCCAGTTCATTTAACCAATTCGGAAACTGATGGATTTCTTTCATTCGATTGTCATTCTGGCGCATGTTCGACAAGTATTGCTAATTTATCCCTCTAGGAACCCTTCAGATGAAAATTACATTTCAAATATATATGTAGCAAATTAACCCTCTGACTCATACTCGGACTTCCTCCTTATGATTCATGTTGACATGCATGTTTGTCAAGAAAACACAGAATAATTATTTCTGTTCTGGAATGTGTATGTGTGTGTTACGTGGAGCTAATTGTAATGGTTTATATATAATTCTAACTGAAAGGAACTGAAAAACAGAAATAATGTATATTGTGTTTCGAGATTACAACTTCGAATGATGAGTGCGTCACTTGTGCATGCTACTTTGGATAATTATTTTAATTTTCATTTTGTTTCGCTTTTTAATTTTTTGTTTTGTGCTTCATTAGTGTACACTAAGTGATCAAAAGTATCGGGACACGTGGCTGAAAATGACATACTAGTTCGTGGCGCGCTCTATCGGTAAAGCTGGAATTCAATACAGTGTGGGCCCACCCTTAGCCTTGATGACAGCTTCTTTTCTCGCAGGCGTACTTTCAATCAGGCGCTGGAAGGTTTCTTTGGGATTGGCTGCGCATTCGTCACGGTGGGCTGCACTGAGGAGAGGTATCGATGTAGGTCGGCGAGGCCTGGCACGAAGTCGGCGTTCCATAACATCCCAAAGGTGTTCGATACGATTCAAGTCAGAACTCTGCCAGGCTAGTCCATTACAGGGATGGTATTGTCGTGTAACCACTCAGCGACAGGCCGTGCAGTATGAACAGGTGCTCGATCGTGTTGAAAGATGCAATCGCCATCCACGAATTTTTCTTCAACAATGGCAAGCAAGAAGGTGTTTAAAACATCAGCGTAGGCCTGTGTCGTGGTAGTGCCACACAAAACAGAGGGTGCAAGCGCCCTCCATGAAAAACATCACCATACCATAACACCTTTTATGACGTGTTCGGATACTTTTGATCACATAGTGTACCATTGTAGGCGCAAAATATTGAATATGAAATATTGCGACGAGAGAAGTTAGAGGGGTAGGTTAAATACAACATCAAACCACTTAACTAAACGAGTCAATTACTATTTACAGTTTCCTCTGTAAACAATTGTGCGGAGAGAGTACGAAAAATTATAGAGCGTAAATCTGTCGCTCTTGGGTATCAATTTTGAGGGGTTATAGCCTTTCTGACATGAGGACGAAATTATTACATTTATTTACTACTGTTCGATAGTCTGTTTTTCATAGTTATTCGCAAAACACACTTCAGAGATTTACCATAAAAATAATTGAATGAGTGTGTAAAAAGTCCAGAAAGTTCATTCGGAGATAATTCAAATGATAACTTTTGATTACATATGCCAAAAAACTGTCGAGATTTAAACAATTTTCTTCTTTTAGAATTTTTGTACCAATCCAAACAAGTATGTTGCAATAAAAACTTTATTAAAAATGTGTTATAATTAAAACATAAACTGTGAAATTGTACTGTTTATCATCTCAATGAAGATTTATCGACCAAAATTGTTTTGCAAAAGAAAAATGTACCACAAAAATATCACATTTTGTTGTTGTAAGAGTGTATGCACATACGTAATATGACTTAGGATTGTACAAATTTCAAGTTGGAACTTTAAATAGAGCTTCTGTATTTTAACCTTTTCCTTTTCAAGATTTTTCTGTTTTTTGTTTTTTTGTGATCAGACTGAGAGGTCAGTTCACTACGCATAAACTTCATGGAATCTGATGAGTAATGTGCAACTTTCATTGAAAAGGATTCTATATGTTCTTTTATCTTAGCAAGATTTTTGTGCTTAATAGCATGAGGTTTCTTACTGTGCATTTCTCTTCCATCATTTGGAGACAGACCTGACAAAAGAATTCCTGTCATTCATTGAACCTGAATGTGTGATATTCCATATAAGCCCCTGAATGCTTGTTTACAAACTTGACTGTGAACATAGTCTTTCAACGCAAAATAACTAAAAGTACCAAGTGTTCGCTTTCTGTTCCCCTCCTCTTTCGCTCTTCGGTTTATTACACGCACGCTCTTGACAAAAACAAATAAATTGCATCAGCCCTGGAGCTCTGGCAAATAACAAATGTGAACCATCTGCTGCGAGCAGTCCGGGTCTCCAGAAGTCTGAAATTCTTAGTCGAAGAAGAGTACACACCCCGTACAGATACTGTTCTTTCACTCTTCAAAGAGAAGGAGATGCCTGCTTTGAAGTCAAATTACCTCTTATTGAACTTTTTTCTACAACTCAATATGTATTTTCATGCCTTCGAGACCAATTTAAAAAAAATCATAAATAACTATTTTTGAACAAGTACTATTTTTTCACTCACCCATTCAATTATTGCACCGAGCACGCTGATTTTAAGTGGGTCATTAGCTTCCAAAAGTGAAATCGTATGAGGTACTTACTGTCATAAAAAGTGTAATGTAGTACAAGGTGGTATCTGCATCTAATCACTTATAGACGGCGACGTGTATCCATTTCGTTCATCATGTTGAATTATGAAATAAGATGCAAAACTTATATTGTTCACGGATGACTCTGAAATAAAGATGGCCGACCGTTATTATTTTATTCTCTCATCAGATGTACAATATTGATAAAATAAAACGTCATGGGTTATACGATAAGTCATGGGACTTATATCATTTCAGAAAACTGTTAGTAATTAGGAAAAAATTAAGTTGTTTATTTTATTACACTTCGGCTTTTAATGAATTGTGTGAGATAGAGACTGGGAGGGGGGAGAGGGAGAGATCGAGAGAGAGGGGGAGAGAAAGAGAGAGAAACCCTATGCAGATATGAAGTGATATGTCTCAATAAGTTTAGAGAACTTTATAAAGTACTCATACTTTTCATCCACATTCTTCCTTGTACTTTGAGAAAACTTTGTCATTTTTTAAATTTCTTCTAGAAACAAAGTATTTTGTGAAATACATTGATTATCCTAATCGATTCAATTGTTCTATTTCGAGAATTACAGTGTGTAACAATCTTGTTTGTACACTTTTTTTTGCAAGTAAAAATTAATTATTTACACTATTTCATACGTTTTGTCTTATCCTTAATCTTTGTCTTCTGTATATAACTCTAAGGAAACAAAAACAACCAACAAACACTTAATTTGCCTTTGAATAAAAATACAAATAAATAATTTCACCCAAATCTGGCTACTACCGTGCAAGAGTATTATTTGAACACTATCAAAAAATTAAAGAATATATTAAAGAATTCACACAAAAAAATATTGAATACCCTGACGCATAGTATTTAGCTTTGAGAATTGCTTTGCATTGTCTCTGCATTGAATGCCCTACAAGTCAGTTTCTCCCATTATTCTGCCACAACACATTTTAATTGTTACAGTGATTGAGGTTTTCATGAATGCCCCCTTTTCTTCAAATCAACCCATACACGTTCGATCGGGTTCAGATCAGGAGATTGGGGGAGAATTCGCAGCTTTTTTTCTGCACTCCGCTGACCATTTTTCTTCAAGACATCTAAGAATCCCCATGTATGCCGTCGATGTTCTGCGTAGTTCCAACCCCATTAGACGCCATTACTCTTCAAACATCATAGAACCTTCTCCATGTTTCACAGCTGATAGATAATTGCTAGTTTCCTTGGCCGTATTTCACTTTCTCCATACCGTTCAGCATCCGTAATAACCATAAAGAGTTATTTTCGTGGCATCCGACCAATTAACATTATTCCTGAACATCATATTTTTCGTGCTATCATTATTTTCGTGCTACCTGCAGAATTTAATTCTGGCAAATCGATTATTTCTATTTGTAAGTGGTCTCTTTCGTGCTCTTCTGCGATGATACTCGTAGCCATACTTCTACAGTACCCTGCGAATTGTCTGGTTTGATAGTTTATTTTGTGTATTTTATTTCATCATATTGCGAATGCTGGAAGTACATAATATTGTGGTTTTCCTCACCTGTTTAATTATGAAACGTTTGTTCCTGTCACTGAGCTTCTTTCTCTTTGATTTTCTTGGTAGGTTCTTTGTTGAACCGTTATATATAAACTTATATAACACATAGTTGACTGTAGAATGGAATTTGTGCACTCTGTGTCCAATTTCTCTTAGTGAATAGCATCGTAAATCAAGAGATACGATAATTTCCTTTACGTCACTGCTAAGTTCTTTCCTATTTCCTATCGTAAAACGCACTAATCCGCAAACGAAATGTAGATGATAACAGCAACTATGAAGGACGTCTGAAAGTGACGAAAAGTGTTAACAGACTAGGAATAAGGGAATTTATTTAAGTGTACAAACAAGAATGTTTCATGTGAATAGAATGAACTTTACATTATAAGGTGATTTTTGCGATAATCTCTTGGTTCGTTTTATAAATTATTATTGAAATTTTGTTCTATATTTATATTATACATTCGCGGTAAATAATTCAATAAAATATTAAGAGTATTTTCTACGCAATAATCCATGAATTTCCCATAACATTCACACTCTACTAACAAGACACTATTATACTTTATCGAACACTTAAAAAATGTCTTAATTTTCTACATCACTGATGTAAGGATTTACACTGTATTTCTCCCTTTCTTACTTTTCAGTTTCCCACGAAGCTGTTTCTCACTTTCCAGTGTGAGTCACGATGACTACTAGGTTTACTGAGTCTACTGAGAACCACATTTAATTACGAACGACCTCCACGGTATAAGCAACCGTACCCCTCTGCAGATAAGATGTATTCAGCGACAGAGAAAAGTGAATTGGATACGCTCGCGAACGAAGGTCATACATCGTCTTACCTGTTGTAAACTTCTGCTATGAACCAGCTTGAAGGATACTCGATTGTGCGACGCACAATGATATTTATGCTATTTACTTTTCTGTAGACCACTGGGAACAATTTTTGTTCAAGTATTTCGAGTTATTCAAAGGCTTTTATAGTAGCCTACATCTGTAAAAATAAACCAATCAAATCATTAGTTTAAAATTCATCACTCTAACCAAAAACGTCTTCTCCAATTTCATATTTTCTCCTTGCAGTAATCCAGTGGTAATTTCTAGATAAAACAAAACAAAATTGCCGTATACATTCAAAATATCCAAACGATGTACTACGCCAACCATATACATTCTATAAATAAAAAAATTGTAAAGGTAATAGATGAACATTCTGTAAATTAAAAAAGTTGTAAATGTAACAGATGTTAAAACAAGGGTGGAATTCAATATTAAATAATTTAACTTAATTATTACATCACGTGGATAATGATTTGAAACGCCATGTTAAACTTTGGTGTTGAACTGGAGTTGTAAATTTTTTTAAAAAAAACGCTCTGAAATGCAATTAGTGTTCTTTATGCTCATATAGTGTAATAAATCGAACAACTCAGAAAATAATAATACATTTAAATAAATCATTGCACCTCCGTTTTATAATTTCTCAGGAACTGCACAATGGGGTCAAATGGAAGCAAAACCTGGCAGAAATTATAAAAGTCCAAATGATTTTGAGTGAACATTTTTATTAGTTTTAGATGAAGGAGAATGATCATCTCATAAAATAACATGCCACTTGAGCTGCCCTTTTGCGTGACAGAGATTTCATTTCATGCTGTATTCTATTGACGATCACAGGTTTGGTGATTTAGACTGACATTCGTTGTGTTTTTAGTTGGTCAGAATAGCGACTTTTTGTGATGGGAACTTCAACTTCTAGTATTTAATAAATTTAATATTATTATTACTATCATGAATTATTATTAATTATACTAAGAATTATTTAATATTATTAAATACATCTTGATAAATATAAATTAAAATATAATGGTACACGACACAGCAAAATTATTAAGGCCTTAATTAACAATATCAAACGACAAAGAAATAAAATTTTTAGACAGCCCCTTGTAATAATGATTATTTTTAGGGCATGCATATTGTACTGTGAGATAATGCTTAAATGTTCACATAAATCAGCGAATACAACAAGGAAAGCAAAAATACCTTTGCCTGATTGCATCAGCTACAACTTTCTTTAATGCAACATTGTGATTGTTTTGTATAATTGAATTGAAATAAAATTAATATCAGTAAGGCTGTCCAAAATTTAGAGTATGACACAAGTTATTTTATTTTGCTCGTAGGATTGTGCTACTAGACATATCGGCCTCGGGTCGCAACATTTCCTAACCGACGAGCCATCTTAGTTATGGGTGAAGCAATATCAAACTGCGAGTTTTGTTTTTCCCTGTTCAGAAATGATCCAAAAATATGCTCCAGATTTGTTTGCTACTTTTTTCCACTTTCTGGTGCAGAATTAATTTTCACGATAAGGAGAGAAAGTGAAATAATTGAAAGTGGGATCAAAATCTATTCTTATCAAGATGACAGAACTCTTAAATAGCACAAGTTTTGAGATATGGACAGAAAATTTGCTTTTTATACTGAAAGGTACAAGTGAAGAACAACTTGTTCTTCAGGAATAGTGGTGACTTAAAGAAAAATGTGCATTACTTGAAAGCCAGTTTAAGTCAATATGGAGAAATGCTTGCAAAATGAAAGCAAAATTTAATAATTTTGAGTTTTGGCAGAATTTTTAGGAGAAAAATTAGAAGAATTTATCTTTTTCACTGTAAACTCAGAACACTTCTTATATACGATTATTGCAGTGTTAACATACACATTTCTGGCATAGGCCTAGTGCCGTTTAAAAAACTAGTGGTGTTATAGAATGGAACACACTTTCTCGTACTAGTTAGATTCCTTATCTCTTGAGTCTGAGCTATCGTTTTGTTTATCTTCTTCTCAGCTGCCTAAATTCGCGCCTAAATTGCATTTTTTTCACATTCTTTAAATTTGTTGGTCCGTTAACGGTAAAATTGAAATATGATTACAGAATATTGTAAAAGAGTAAAACCGAGTCCGATATGCAAATTGTCGTTGAAATGTTTTGAGCCATTTTTGAGAAAATATTGTTTGAACGTCTCTTTAAACGTACATTTTGAAGCTAATTTTCACTCCAAACTTGAGTTTTCAAGAAACTTCATATAAATGATTTGAAGCAATTGTACTCACAAATGCTGTAATGTATATGAACTGTCGCTATGAGGTGCCTACGAGAAATATATGGAAACTAAATTTCTGTATTAAAAAAGAATACAGTGAAATTACGTTTACAGCATCTGTTACAATGTGTTTAGCACTATCGATACAAAAAGTTTATAGAAAAAGCGGTGTCATTTGTGATAAAATATTGTTTTTAATATTTTTTAAATACTGTCCATATTTTACTCAAAAACGCTCTAAAACTTCTAAACCGTTAAAAAATCTACACAATGTTAATGAATGAGCCAATAATTATTGACAAAAGTTCAGGGAAAAAGGGCTATCATATTTATTTCTGAAACGGGTTATGTTAACATCCCTTTTTCGCATGAACTACGCAATTAATCTCAGGAAATAAGTTTTTTTTGAAAACTGAAAGTTCCCGATGTCTTCACGTCTAATTTACATTTTTGTGTATGTAATGAAAACATCCCACTTATACTATTAACTTATATTAAATATCGACATCATCACAACCATGCGGTAAGGCGGGTAGAATCGGGATCAGGCAAGGCAGCAGAGGGAGTGAAGTGTGGCAAGGAGCAAGGTGGGTTTGATCATATCGACGTAAGGCAGGCCCGAACAGAGCAGAGTAGAGCAGACCACGCCAGGTTACACTGTAGACAGAACGCATTCCTTTTCCTGCCTGGATAGATAAATGTGGACAAGTAAACGAATTTCATTTTAAACCACGTTTAAACTGCGATTTAACCGCACAGGTTTCCACTAGTCTTCAATATTGTAGCTGTAGGAAGACGCCGAAAGAATTGTAAAATTTAGTAATTTTCGAAAATTCAGAAAATCATACCCATGTCGTCTTCAGATTTATATTGTAAAACATTTAAAGAAAAATATTGGAGCTGTTTTTGAGAAAATTTTGAATATTCCCTAGGGACTTAATGTAAAGTACCCGAAAAATGTAAAGAAGGTGTTTCAAAATCGCAGTTCTTTGAGTCGGGCGAGATCAACCTAGGAATATTCATTTTGTAAAAAAGGCCTAAGAATAGTTTAGGCGTTAGTGTTGTTCACAGATGAATTTGTAGACTGACAGACAACATTCGAAACCCGTCCACCGAGCCGTTCACATCGCAGAGCGCTCGTAAAAGTCGGAATGCTAGCGTCGGTACGGGCCCGCCCGATACCGATAAACCAGTTTATATATCAAGTTCTTCTTGTAATAAGTGATATAAGTGAAATATAGTATTAATCCAGTGCATCGAATAACTTTCACCAATGGCATTTGATGTGAATCAATCAACAGGCAACATAGTCAGCAATGCTCTTTACGTGCTACACAACTCCAGCGGTATTCCGCAAAGCAACTTCATCAATTTACCTACCACACACAGTGAAAGTGCCACGAACGAGGATACAGCCATGGAATCTTCAACATCAGAAACTTCATGTTATCAAGACCCATTGCAAGGTACAACGCTCGTAACCTTAGGCAGCTGGCGTGAGGTAGAAGCCAGCGTCAACCAAGGAAAAAGGTCAGTAGGCGAGGACGCTTCCAACAGCGATAGCAAAAAACACAGTGCACGTGTAAGTGACAATGACTATGTTAAAGGTTCTACATCAGATTAAGCCAGTGCATCACCGACAGACAGTTACGATGTTTCAGTAGGTTCCGTAGTACAGAACTTCAACTTCAGAAATGAAAATATAGACTTGCAATCTTCCTACAATGTCCCAGTAGGTAACAGATTTACGGAATTAGCCTCCAAGGAAACCAATTCTCTTCTCTCAGATAACCGCTTCAACTATCTTAAATATGATCAATCTTCACAGCCTACTGCAGCCAATAAAATACCCCAATTTTTATAGCCGAGATAACTAACATCAACTTCCTTCGTAATGAAATTAAAGTTAACGTATCAACTTTGTAGCTGAACAAAAAATACAACAAGTGAAAATAAATCCGGCTCAGCTGAAGATTTTCGTAAAATTATTAAATACTTAATCAACACAAATAGAAGATTCCCACTCCTACAAAGACCCTGCAAACGAAATTTTCGGTAGTATTCAAAAAGTCCACATCTCCATAACTGGCAGTGAAATCATGCAAGATTTAAAACAAAGACACCCATCCATTGTTAAAATCACCCGTCTTCAGAAGGATAGCAATTCCATTCCTGTAATAGCAGCCGAGTTCAACGTCAATGAACCACTGGAAACAATTCTCAAAATCAATCAAATCTGCAACCTCAAAGTCACCACCGAAAAAAGAAAAAGACCACTACAGTGCTATAGCGTCCAAAGTCCAAAACGCTTTCCATCGTTTTGGACTTTGGACACTCTAGAAACAATTGCAATCACAAAATTAACTGTGCAATATGTTCTGGTAATCACTCTCCTGTACTTGTCCTGAAAAGTAAAACAAACCCTACTGT